CCACCCCACCCTGCCCTGGGGGTCCCCTCCCCTCAGGCAGAGGGGTGTCCAGGAGAAGTGGGGGGGGGGGGGTTTTGGTGTCCCGGGGAAGGGGGGGGGGGGGGTGTTTTGCCTGGAGCCGGTGGGTGGCACTGCAGCCCCGCAACGCCGCCGCGGGCACTGACATCGGATCCAGGGTGTCAGCCCTGGAGTGCACAGTGTCCCTGCACTGACCGCCCTGGACACAGGCTCAGCTGGCGTGGAGGCACCCTGGCATGTCCCGGTGGCTGCCGGCTGCCGGGCACCCAATGACTCTGCCCGGGGCCCTGAGAGCACCCAGGGAGTAAGGTAAGGGGCCACGCAGCTTCGGGGGAGCGGGCACCCAACCCCGCACGTGTCCCAGGGCTTCAGCAAGAGCTGGGACCCCCCAGGGTCCCCCTTGGCAGTCCTGGACAGGTGAGGGTTAATCAGCGATGGGGATGGGAATAAGGCTCGGGGCTGGGAGAGCTGCGCCTTTGCCTGTTGCTTCTTTCCCTGCCTGCATCCCCTGCTCCTCCGGGGACTGCCAGGCCCTGCTTGGGTGCCGAGGGTGCCCCCAATGCCAGTGCCCACACCCACACCTTCACCCCTGCTCCGGGATGTGCCCGGCTCTGCGGCTCTGGGAGTTCACCCTGCAAATGTCCCTTCCCCGTGCCCTGGCTCGCTGGCGCAGCTTGTTTCCACCCTGCCCAGCACAGGCAGCTCTGACTCTGCCCAGCTCCTGCCTGCGCAGCGATCAGCCAGAGCTTGGCCCCACAGAACCCCCACGGACGCAGCCAGCCCCACGGCAGGGCAAGGGTCAGGATGCACCCAGAAGGTTCAGGGGAAGGTGCACGCCAAGGCACCTCAAACACCCCAGGGTCCCGCAGGCTGTGCCAAGCATTGCCCTTATCCCACCCTGTCACCCCAAGGGCACGGTTTTTGCTCCCAAATTAGTGTTGCGAGTTCCCCGGGTACGCCAAGCTCCCATTTCGGTTGGGATTTAGCTGGTTTTGCAGGCAGAGCTGTGCCCTCGTGCCTGCCCAGTGCCCAGCTGGGCACCCCGGGGTGCACCCGGCTTCCAGAAGGGCAGAAGCCACATCCCGGGGTTTCCACCCTTGTGTGCCTCACCCCAGGTTTGCTCTAGGCTATATGCAAAGCAAAAAAAGACAGTGCAGCTTGCACAGGCTTCCTGGCAGTGTCAAGGCTGGGTTTGGGGCAGCTGGCAGCTGATGGGACCCGCCGAGCATCCCCTGAATCTCCTGCTGTGGCCAACGGAGCAAGTGGAAAGTCCCCACAGCCACAGCGGGAGGACGTCCCTGTCCCTGCCCTCCTCGCCGGCTGAAATCACTGACCACTGGATGCTCGGGGGATGCTCTTCGCCCGCAGGTACAGGCTGTTGCTTTGCTGTTGAGCTCCCGGCGCTCTCTGTCCTGGTTGTAGCAATCCCCTGAGAGCTAACACGGGGCTCTTTACTCCCTCCTTCCCTTGGCTTTAGCCGCTCTGAGCCCGGCCTGGGCTCCAAATCAGCAAAAAGAGCCCTGGGGTCAGTTTTTAATTGAAGAAATCAAAGTTGTGCTTCCCAAAACACACCTTCGGCATCTCCTGTGCGGAGCTAATCCTCTATCCCACGCTGCACAACCTCTCCCCCGAGAGCTAAACCCGGTCTCCTGGGCTGCCGTACGTACACAGACTTGAACAGAAAAGGAAAATTATTGAGTGAAAAGCAGAACTGAGTCAAGGAACTTCACTTCCCAGCTCGCTGGCTGCTCAGGTTTGCACTTGGTCCTGTTTTTATTGATTGCGTGGGATGCTGGCGAGCACAAGGAGCCCCACGGGTGAGGGGCTGGAGGCAGGGAAAGGCGAATTGCCATGGGAACGCACCAGCGAGGGCTGCCAGGCCGGGGAGGGCAGGTGCTTCAGCTCGAATAAAGCCCATAAATTCCAGCATGGGAAAGTTGCTACAGGGTATTTTGGGACCGGACGAGCAGCAGAAGAGTTGCACAGGGCCGGCTGCGTTGGAGAGATGATGAGTCCCCTCTGACGAGGCTGGGTGCTGGGGTGGTTGTTCCACCCCCAGCGCAGCCCTGTGCACCCCAAAAGGGGTGAGCCCTGCAAGCTGGGCACCCCTCCGCACGCTCCTCCCAGCCCTGGGTGCCCTTTGTGCTCCCTACACACCCATGCAACTACCTGGGCATGCAAAGAGCACCCAAAGGCCCCGTCAGGAAGGACAAGAGGGGAGACAACCACACGGCAAGCCTCCCTTTCGCACCATCCTGTGCCACCCTGGTCTGGCTCAGACCCACGGGGGTCCCCCCGGGCAGGGTGTGCGGCAAGGGACAGGGGGTGAGGCGTGCCGGCATCGAAGCGGGGTGACCCCGCATGGCTGCTGGCCGTCCCGGCCATCGGATGCTCCTGGCATGCAAAGAAACACAGTGCTGGTGCAAAATTAGGCAGCAGCAGAGGATGGGCATGGGGGGAACAAAGCAGAAATGACAGACGCCCCTCTCTTGCAAGCAAGAGGAGGAGCCGTGGCTGGTGCTGGGTGCTGCACGACGGGAATAACACTCCCAAAGAGCCACCGGCTCGGAGACGACATTGGCAGTGGGGTTGGCACAGACTGCCCCCCCCACCCTCACAGTTGTCCCGCCGCTCTTTCCAATTGCATGTCACTTCTGCGAGAGATAGACGGGGAGGTGCTGGCTAGGGTCCCTTCCCACCTCCCCTCCACCTCCCCACATCCCATTTGGTGCCAAAGCCAGCCCGAAGCCACCTCAACATCTGGGACACCCTGCTCCACCACCGTGACTGCCCTGGGTGGCCGGCGTCCCCGGCTCGGGGCATGGCTGGGGTGGCTGCGGTGCAGGGGGGGCCATGCACGCAGGACCCCAGGAGCGCTGGGCGATGCGGCCGCGGGGGTTGCAGGCGCCGCCAGCCCCATGATTGGCGCGGCGGGGGACAAATGCCACAGCTGAGACGGGGCCGAGGCTACCTGAAGGACCCCGCATGTCCTCAGGTTTCACTCATGACCATCTGACAGCAGCAGCAGCTGCTCTGCCAACAGGCATTCGCTGAGCCAAAGCCTCCAGGAGTCGAAGGAGAGGGAAATTCTGGCCCTAAAAGGTCTCTCCTTGGGATTTTGCTCTCTCCACCCAACAGTAAGTACTGGGTTCAGCCCTGGGCTGATGCCAGGTCAGCGGGCAGGGTCTATGGGGTCTTGGATGTCCCCAGGCTTGTCATTCTCGCTGTGCCCGGAGCGGTGCAAGCAATGCCAGGGGCTTCGCTGTCCAAGCACCGGAGGTGGATGGGAGCAGGACAGCCCCCGCGGTGGCTGGGGTGGTGTTTAGGGCTGTAGGTACCCGCCGGACCCCCCTGCATGGAAAACAGCCCGGGACGGGGGGTGAAAGTGCCCGCAAAGGCGCAGGCAGGGCACGGGGACGAGGGTGCCAGCAGCCACCAGACCCTCAGTGGCCACGGACCTGCCACCAAGATGAGAGGGGACGGCGGGGGATGTGACGGGCAACCGGTTTCTGAGCCACCTTCCCACCCAGAGGAAGGGAGCTACAGGCAGGGCTTAAAAGTCACAAGTCGCCTTTCTCCTGGCTTCTCCTCCTGGAGATCTAAATATAAACCTCGGCTTGGCCAAGCCAAGGTTGCAGGAAAGGTCTGCGGGGTGCTTCGCAGTGTCTCCTTTCGGGAAGGCACCTGTCCCCACAGAGCCCCTGTCCCCCGTGGGGGAGCGGAGAGGGACCCCCATGGAGAGGGGGGGAGGAGGTGGGACCCCTCTGCCATGCCGAAACAGCGGTGACAGGGGGAACACAGAGGTGGGAGGCCGTCATTCCTCCCTCCGCACGCAGGGGCTGCAGGGTGCGCACACACAGCCAACAGCTTTGGGGTGCCGGGGAGGCAGGGTGAGCCCAATGTGGGGTTCAGGGCTTGGATCCCTCCATGGGCAGCGGAGCAACAGGCAGCGCCAGGGTGGGATTTGGCTCATTTTTTTGGGTGTTGAATCCCCACACACATCTCTGACCGCCGTCATTCCTCCCTCCGCACGCAGGGGCTGCAGGGTGCGCACACACAGCCAACAGCTTTGGGGTGCCGGGGAGGCAGGGTGAGCCCAATGTGGGGTTCAGGGCTTGGATCCCTCCATGGGCAGCGGAGCAACAGGCAGCGCCAGGGTGGGATTTGGCTCATTTTTTTGGGTGCTGAATCCCCACACACATCTCTGACTTGGCCACGGGACTCTGCCTGCCCTGGGTGCACGGGGCTGTGCAAAGCTCCCATCACTCGCTGCACGTGCAGGGACCACTGTGCACCCCCAGTGCCATTTCAGGGTCTATCCAGAGAAAATCGGCCACCCTGGTCCCCCCATCCCTCACAACAGCAACCAGCCCTCTTGGCCAGATCCTGCATTGCTGCTTTCTCGCTCCCCGGAGCCGGTGCTGAGTTGCAGGGTGAAGTCTACAGATAAGCACAAGCATTTCCTCCCCTGCCCACACCGCTGCTGATCGCGATGCGAGGGATCAGCCTGGGCATGCAGTGAGCAAAAGGCACTGCAAAAGATTTAACAGCGGCTATCGACGAGGGGCAACAATTCCATAAAACCCTGGGGACAGCAAGACACCCCAACCGGTCCTGTTATATAGGGGAGATCCTGCACATGTAGCTGATCGATCGACGCTGTGAGCGCTGGAGCTGCCTCCTCTAGTCCTTGCTAGGAAAATGCCTGACGTTATAACGGTTCAGGGGGAAAAGGGCATATTTACGGGAACTGCTTAAAGAACACAGAGTCCTGCCTTGACTTAGCTGTGCTAATATTTAAATAGCATTTTCTATTTTCCGGCGTGTGCATAAGGGTCCGGTGACCATCATTCAGGGCAAAAGGGCCCCGTGGAGCTGTTCGGGCAGCTCCATCTTCACTCAGGGAAACTTGCTGGATTTGGGGGTAGGAGAGTAAGCGACAGCAGGTAATTACGAGCCGCCCAGCATCCTTTCTGTGTTCAGCAGGTTGGTCTAATGAGGTCATTTATATGGAGGGGAGGAAGGGGGAGAATGTGGTGGATGCTTTGGGGAGTTATGAGGGCAAAGCTCCCAGCTATAGCTCCGGAGATGCCGGGAAGGGTGCTCAGCCTCTGTGCCTGTCTGTCTGTCCAGCTGCCTCCCTCCTTGGTTATTTATACAGCCCTTGTGAACATCTCATCTTCGAGTCCCCCTTGTCCAGATCCGAGTGGATTTGAATGAGATCCCTCAGGAGCTGGAGGGCAAGAGCCAAGGTGTGGGGCTCAGTGCCCGGAGATGGGCATGGGGAGGGCTGTGATGGCTGCAGGTGCCCCGTGTTGGTCCTGGTTTGCATGGTGTCTGGTACGGGGTATCGGGGTACAGAGCCTGGGAAAATGGGCATCCTCCAGCCCCAGGATGCTGCAGGGACCAGATATTGCAAATCCCGCGGGAGCATCAGGTCTGGGACCTGCTCCCAGCACTGCTCACTGGTGATCCCTATGGGAGCCGGTGGGGCCGTGTCCCTCCTGGCATCCCTCAGAGGTGGCTGCATGACTGCCCCCCATGCCCCCCTGAGTCTGCAGGACCCCGTGGGGGGTAGCAGGTCGTTACGGCCCCACGCCGCCCTCCCTTCCCCCACGTTGTCCCCTCGCTGCCTTCACAGCACCGCTCAGATCTTTTCCAAGCCTGACATGAGAGCTGCTGGCAGGGAGGAGCAGGAGCGTTGGATGACATCCGAGTGCAGGCAGTGGGCACTGGGCAAGTGCAGGGTCCCCGCTTTAACCCTTCCCCGCCTGCCCGAGCCTCCACCGCAGTCAACCCCCCCCCAAAATAAACCCAAGCAGCCATCCGCCCCGGCGTCCCCTTTCCAGCAATCCCCTCCCAGGGGTCAGTAGGGGCAGTGGGAGGGAAAGGCAGCGGGGATGGGGTGGTACCCCCCGCTGCATCCCCCGGCTCCAGGCAGGAGGGGGTTAGCGCGTTGCTGCAGGGTGTTGCAACCTCCTATTTCCATCTGTGGCCCAGGAGAGTATCTGAGGACTTCACAGCTTCCAGCCTATGTATGCCACCCCCGCCTTCAAGCACATCGAGGTACCCTTGGTAGGGCTGCAGGCAAACAGGCATTGCAGTGCTGGCATTCGAGTAAATTCAGGTCAATAACGATCGGTGAATTGTACGAAATTAATTTCCATGCCACTTTTGATGCCAGTTGCAGGAGTGGAGGCACCTCTGCAGGGCACGTATTTTTCGGGGGTTAGTGGTTTATGTCCCAGGGGGAGGCTGGTGCCCCCTCAGCATGTTCAGCATTAAGGATTTGGCTCTCCAAAAGAAGCCAGGGATGACACAGGCTTGGCTGTGTCTTTGCAAGGAGCTGGGGAAGGGAGCAGCACCTTGTCTGGCACATGCAGAGCACCCATCGCGGCTGGGGCCCCGCTGAAGGTGCTGCTGCCACGTGCCGTGAAACACAGGATTGTGCATCACGTCCTTCTCCTCTGTGAAAATCCCCCGAGCGCTGGCATAGCCCTCAGCTCACGGGTGTCCTCGTCCCAATGTGCATCGCAAGGCAGGGGGTGGGTTGGCTGCTGCCGGGAAAGGGGCTGGAGAGTATTTGGAGACCTCCTCTTGGTCTGCCCGAGAAAGGCAGTGTCCAACAGGCAGAAAGCAGCAGAACAGCATCATTCCCATAGCAGTGAACTCATTCAGCAAAGACCTCAGCTGGTGCTTAAAATCAAGTATACGCTTTTATATTTGGCCCAGGCAGCTATACCGGCACCGCTGTTGCTGCTTTAGAGTGTCCTTGGCTGGTCTGGACCAACCTGGGGGACCATGATGGCACCTGAAGAACATGAACTTGCTGCAGCATCTCAGTCCCCCTGGTCTGGCTGGGGAAAGGCATCCACCAGTGCTGGGCTTGCTCTGGCACTGTTTTCCAAGGGCTTTCAACAGACCCTCCCTTTCGCTCGGCATCAGGCAAACTGCAGGCAGCATAGCTTCACCCGGATCCCCGGGATGACGGGTGCTGCTTGGAAGCATCTCGCATTCCTGCCGGTGCAGTTGGCTTGGGCCACGCTTCAGGCAAAGAAACAAAATACACCAAGAGGAGGGTAAAAAACCACGGTGGTGACAGGAGTCAGCACGGGGAGATGTGTCACTAACAGGAGCCAGTGGTGCTCGCCGGGCTTGGTGGGGGAGAGGCTGGTGTTTGAGCCACACAGCCCACGGCATTTCCCAGCCGAGCACTTAAAAAAAACAGGAATTCAAAGGATAATGCTGGAAAATGAAGAATTAATTTTTTTCTCGCTCTCTAAGTCTTCCGAGCCCACCGCTATTTGAAAATAGAGTGGGAAAAGGATTGGGGTGACTCTCTCAATTTTTTTACTGGTGTTATTTTCTTTTCCTGAAAACTTAGCACCATCTCCCTTTAAAAAAAGGCAGCCTAAAGACACAGCCAGTTTATGGTGGGCTCAGAACCGCGGCGGTGGTGGAGTTCCAGCATCCCACGGCAGTGTTGGAAGAGGCATTTGTTTGCAGAAGAAAATTTTGGAGACTTCACATATCTCTCCAGATAGTCTTGGTAATGTAGTTACAGCAAAGCATTAAGGGACGGCAATGTATCTGGGGACAGTAAATATCAGACTCTTAAATAGCACATTATCATGTTACAGAAAGGGACATAAATGTGTTTATAAAATGGCTAATTTTGTCTGGCACAACTGAAGGGTGTTTATCCTGGTAACTGCTGGAAACTCATATAATCTCGAAAACGCTAATGCAGCTCCAGGCCCTGCTCAGCACGCCGTTAAATCACCCATGTGCGTGACTTAAAGCAAATCTCTCCACCCCCTGTGCTATTTGTGGACAGAAAAAAAAAAATTCACATTAGATTTTTTCAATTTCCCCACTTTTTTTCCAAAACTTGGGGAAAATACAGTAGGAAATATACACCCTGTAGGACTTTTTCAAGCTGTGACATCCCTAGGACCATATCAGAAGGGTTTTTTTCTACAACCATCAGACTTCACAACAAAGCACCGTGTCACCACGTGCACTCAGGCATTACCAAAAAAAAGGCACAAATATCCTGAAGCTCAAACAAAACCCACAGCAGCGGATGGCACCGCCGCCGCAGCACGGGGCTGACATTGCCTCCCGCGTCGCAGCC